ACCTTAAAAAAGGCGACCTGACTGCAAACAGGCATCACACAAGGCTCATGCCTAATATGAAATGCTACCTTAAAAAAAGGCGACCTGACTGCAAACAGGCATCACACAAGGCTCATGCCTAATATGAAATGCTACCTTAAAAAAAGGCGAGTTGACTGCAAACAGGCATCACACAAGGCTCATGGCCTAATGTCAAAATGCTAATAACAAAAAATGGAAGGATTTGCATACCCAACTGCTCGACGATGCTGGAAATGACTCCAATAGGCTGGATCTCAGTGTCCTCTGGAAGAATAACCCCCATATCCTGCACTGTCGGCAAATCCTGCAAGATCAGAAGGTCAAGAGCACCGTGAATCATCCCACACTCCAGGGGGGCGTCGACCCTAGATTTTCGAGCCCCGAGGCAGGCTGACTTTTCCATTGCATTGGCCCTTAGCAGCTTTGAGTAATTATGGGGTGTAAAAAGAGCTGCTTAATACGCGTCATGCTCCTGCTCCACCTCTGCAGTGCGAGTGCTTCACTGCAGGTTCACTGCAGGTGTCAGTGCCTGGCGCACCTGTACGGCGCACACGTTGGCTCGGTCATGTGACCTGGAGAGTACACGCTAAACACTCACGTACACTGAGCTTCACACTACAGAACCTGGGCAGGAATGACGGTCGATACAAAGGACACTGGTGAACAATATAAAGAACCACGCGAAGCAGTGCGTCATTTGATTTATTATACACACGTTTGTGTCGACTGATATCAATGAATCCCATAAAAAAAAGGAGGTGATTAGTTCGAATCCCATGATCGAAAGAAAGCCATTGGACCCTTGAGCAATATCTTCAACCCCCAATCCAAAAAAAGGCCCAGGAAAAAATCACAAAAAGAATGAAAATGTAAGGTAGTTGCCAACCAGGTGAAGACAAAGGACAGCTTATCTGGGTGAAAAAAAGTTGCCCACTTCTGATCAAATTTTTCAAACAGAAACTTGTTGCCCAGTATCAAAGGGCAACATTGCTCAAGAAGTTGCCCTTTTTATCATCACACTAACCCAAGTGTCGCTCTCACGTGTATATGCACATGTCTCAAAGAACAACAAGATGGAGAATAGGAAAACTAAAGAATGTAACGGTGAAAATGAAACTTCATTGAATTTACCGTGTTGTATTATGCAACAATAATAAAATAGTTCATTGATCCCCGTGGGGAAATTCTCTTTACGCCTCCCCCAGCTTGCTCTTTGCCGGTGAGAGCAGCCACCCATAGCAGCGCCCAGGAGGTTAAGGGTCTCGTTCAGGGGCTTGCAGACGTGCCGAGGCCGGGCTCAAACCAGCGACCTTCTGATCTAAGACACAGAGGCTTAACCGGCTGAGCCACACGCTGTTACACAACCCAAAACATAACAATGATGGCCACCCATGACTGTAACAGGAAGGTCGCTGGTTCGAATCCCACAGTCGACAGTCTCTACAGTCTAACCTCAAGTGTCACTTTAACATGTCTCATAGAGCATGACTATCTAAAGAATATACTGGTGCACACGGCAAATGAAGCTTCATTTATGGTTTATATATTAATTGTGCAATGTTACCCAATGTTACCCAACCCAAAATATACCATCAGATATACCCACCCACACACCAATACTCAGATCAAGTGGGGGGAAAAAAAACCTAGTCAGTCACAGATGAATCAGTTGGAATTATTTACAGCCCACAATACATATGGGATACAGGCCACATCTGATCAGCGGCGTGTTCCATTAAAGCCCTCTTAAGAGGACCAGAGCTGAAGGTACCTTCCAGTCACATACATTATCTGTACATATTGCCCGCAAAAAGCAGAACTGCACAGAAGGTCAGGGAAACAGAAGACAAGACAGACACACGGATGCAGAAGCTCGGAGACCAAAAAGCGATCAGCTCCCCCCCTTAATAATGCATATCCATAGATCCTGCAGAGATCATTACCTTCAATAAGGATGAGAAATACAGGGTATCTTTTCCAAACAAATCACCCGCACCGGACAGAGGTCACACCCACAGCAAAGTGTAAAAAGCAATACCAATGGAGTTATTAAATTACAGGGATTTTACCCCATGATTATTCTGGTGTGTCGATGCCAGATGGCTAAAAAAAGAATGTAACAGCCCCCTCGCATTACACAGGTGCCAACAACAGCCATCATGTGAACAAAAATGTTAACTGCAACTCAGATGTGACAGCCAACAGCCGCTGCTCTCAGAAATAGCAAGCGATTATTCCCCTACTCATAACAACCATATGGCTCCTCTGTACTCATGAGACCATGGAAAAAGCCTGATTACTTGAGGTTTATGTAAACCATTTAATATTTAGGACTATAAAATGGGAAAAACATTTTCATTTGTCTAGCAATTGTGTGTGCTGCTAATTTTCTACTAATTCATTACAACTGTTAATCCGAAAACATGATACAATTTATTCAGCAGAACCAAAAATCAGGAGCCCAGTGGTGACCTCACTCGGCTGACCATGGGATTCGAACCAGCAACCTTCTGGTCACGGACACAGCCTCCTACCCCACTGAACCACACACCAGCCCCGAAAACAAATATATTGCAAATAAAAGTGGCCATGGGAGAATATACACCACAAACGAACAGACTCTTCTACAGTAACGTGCTCAAAGAGCACAGTCAAGATCTATTAGTGAGATCCAGAGGTAGATAGCTCAGGTGCAAAAAGTAAAAGTTCTGAACAAGATTTAGTTTCAAACAACCAGTTAAGAATAAAGAGTCACAGAGTACTCAAATGGGTGGTTGAAACAAAATCTTGTTCTGTACTTCTGCTTTCTGGACCTGAACTACTGACCCCTTGTTAGACCACAAGCAGATGAACTTATTTTACAAGGATAAATACAAATTTGAGCACAATGACTTTGACTTTGATACCTCAATAAGAATTTCATCTTGAGTCTTAATGGGTAGAGGTTTCTTTCCATTAGTGACTCCAACGTCGTCGTCGTCCTCTGGCTGTTGAAGAATTCCAAGAGATGAGGAAGAGGAAGATGAGGTTGATGAAGAATCTGAATCACTACAGGAAAGTGGGAAAGAAAGAAAGAAAAAAAAGATCAGTCACACCAATTTTACGACATTTCTTTCCAATCACAAATCAAGTGGATGAGGATCCCTGGTGCTCGTCATGGCAACCTGCAGGAGGCATAACAAAGCTCAGATGTATTCTTACCCATTTCTAGAACAATCCATAAGCTTTACAACAGCCAGCCATTCATGACGTAAGGGGCAGCATGCAGCAGCGTGTGGCTTAGCTGGCTAATCCTCAGTGCCTGTGATCAGAAGGTTGCTGGTTTGAGCCCGGCCTCAGCACGTCTGTGGGCCCTTGGGCAAGGCCCTTAACCCCCAGCCCCCTGGATGCCGCTGCAGGTGGCTGCCCTTCCTCACCTGCTTGCTCTTACCAACAGAGAGCAAAGAGCCGTAAAGAGAATTTCCCTCCAGGGATCAATAACGTATCAAATATATAATAGGGGACACAACCTGTCCCTTTACATTTATTTAGCATAGTGGTGTAAACTTAAGGGCCCAAGGGTCGAAATCACTCTCACAGGACTGGGATTTGAACCAGAGACCTTCTGATCGCAGGCACTACAGGCTAACTTACTGAGCCACACATTGTCCCTCTTCCATTTTGGGACCAAACCATAACGCCTGAGGACTCCCTTCAGATCATGTGGTCACAGACATACATACTGGAGGCCCGGAGATGCTGTTAGAAGATCAATCGAAGTGGTTTTGGCTTCAATTTAAAGATCCAAGAGGCAAAATGGGCCGGGAGGTAACTTGGCTAATACGGCACAGCCTAGATGGTTAGATGGTTTCCAAATCTGAGCGCACAAAATATACGCAAATATAGGAAGAACCGCAGAAGATGTGGGCTGTCCTCCCCAGAGACTGGTTTGAGAAGCACTGCCCTAGGTGTTTGTCTCAGTATGCCGACATTCTGCTTTGATACCTGTCTGATGAGGAATCCTCAGATGTGGAGCTGTCATCGTTGTCCCCAGGGTCCCTCAACAGCAAAGCCCCTTGGGGCAATAAGGCCCCGCTGGTAAATGGTGATCTCACACAGTCCCCATTCGCCTCTGGAGGCCCCGGGGAGACGGCGAAATTGAGCGTCTCCATTTTGCATGAGACGCTGACGTCCATGTCTTCATGCTGCACCTCGTTCCCTGCGCCTGATCGTTCGCTCCCCACGATGCCACCGGGATCATCAGTCATCGACTCTGGGTCTCCAGTCATCTCGCTTAAATGATGCTCCGCTGACGCGTCGACTGTAACGGACGGCTGACTCTCAGAGTCCATCGTTGTCTCACCGCTTCCAGCCGTAACAGCGTCCAGTGGAATACAAGATGAGTCACTTGCGCCTGCAGACTCAGACAGTGCTGATGATGGGTTTGCTTTCACTTGACCAATGTTTTCCTCTACATTTCCTGCAGCATCTCCCACTGTGTGTTCAGCTGGACATTCAGTACTCACATCAGGCTGCTCTTCCATCTTTTAAATATCCGTTTATATCAGCATAGGTATCTCAAAATAGAAACAATGATGCATTAAATTAAAATTACAATACAGATCTACACGTTAACTTTCGAGATACTGATTTCATAACCACCACCATTTAAAAGACTAAATTATGAAATTAAGGTTATAAACGGTTGTTGCAATACAACTCGTGTTTTTGTGATAACCAAGCCTTTACGAAACGCAAATGTTTGTATTACTATTATTTGCCTACACATTAACACCCTGGAAGAAATATGTTTATGTATAATCGTTAGCGTCGTCATGATTTTAATACTATATATATATTTACCAATTACCAGACTAACCTGAACTTTACCTGGTAACACTTCTCTGGCAATTACGTAAGCATTTCGTAAATATTTCATTCTATTATTATTGCAAGTTAACTGTCAAGCTCACATCCAAATTGATTCATTCATTATCCTTTTCATCAATACTCAAACCAGCTGCAACTAACTACATACGTAATTAATATTAAATGTAAACAAAGGGGGACCTTAACCAGGAAAAGCAAAGGCAGCAGCCAAACCAAAGCAGAATTTGGTGTATCACGTAACATTTGCAAAGCCATTTCAATTTTAAAGGTTGTATACGGTTCTCACCTGGCACACTCGTACCGATCGTACTTCAGAGCACGTTGCTGTCCTCATCTACTCGAGTCTCTTCCGGCCACTTCTTCTTACGTCACAGTCACGTGACGGTGAGATTCCGATCGCTATGTTCATTCAGTTATGTGAGCACAATATTTCTTATATGTAAGGTTGGGTGACAAATAATCTATATCAGGGAGGACACTATGAGCTACTACGAGTTTTACAAACTACTTTAAAACTGAAAGGCTCCTGTGTTTGGCTAAATAGTTCAGTTCTTCTTGTGCTTTGACTGGTTGACAGACTCATCCAACTGTTTCACATTGAGATCAGTGGCACATGCATGATTATAGGAGACTAACCAATCAGCACACAGCAATAACTCATTATTTTTTTTTTTAAATGGTAGTTTACAAATCCTGTCCCAGCTCAGTGTGCTCCCTGACATGGATTATCTGCTCCATCATAATTCACAAAGAAGATGGCAATAAGACACCTGATTAGATCATAATGACCTCTGACAGATCCGTGACCTACAAGCCCTCAATTACAGTTTTTTTTTCTGAAGGAAATGAGTAACTTATTATGTATGTAATGTACAGCAAAATGCCCAAGTAAATCATCAATAAGAAATTTATTGAGCTCTAAAAGTAAAATAAAAAATGCAGTGTACTACAATTATTACATTTTCTTCTACATTACCTTTCCTTTAACCCATCTATCAGGTCAGCAATTTTCAAAACCGATGTATGAAAATGAGGGTTGCAGTCTATGTGTACTTAATACACAGCTAGTATATAAAGCGTTTCTATTCTTTAAAGCTTTCTTATCCTGATCTTGCAAGTGGGACGTGTTCTGTCTAGTTGGCCTTTTTGCACATTATATATAACTTATCCACAGGGGTGTAGCAGTGAAGGCTAAGCCTCTGTGCCTGTGATCAGAAGGTTGCTGGTTCAAGCCCGGCCTTGGCACATCTATGGGTCCTCGAGCAAGGTCCTTGACCTCCCCAGTTCCCGGGACACTGCTATGGGTATCTGCCCTTTATAGCTAAGCTTTCTCTCATGGAGAGCAAAATGGGGGGGGGGGTGAAAAGAGAATTCCCCCTTAGAGATCAATAAAAAGTATTGATTATTGTTATTATTAATTGCAGTATATCCTAGGAAGCACAGGGCAGGAGGTAGAGGATATTCAGACAGGTATGTGATAGTGGGCATACACTCATATGCTCTGAGCAATTTAGAAATGCCTGTTGGCCTTTGGACTATAGGACGGAATTCACTGGAACACTGTGAGAGCTTGTAAACTCTAAACAGACAGTGCCTCATTAAAGGCTATTGTAGCTTGCTGGCAATGTGAAGGTTATGGGTTCAAATCCCGGCAAAGTGTAACCCTTGCCTCTACTGTAACTTGCTCTGGATAAAAGCATAAGCTAACTGTAACACAATCTTCAAATATTTAATTTTATAAAGGATAACACTTTAAGCCGCGCAAGTCACAAAGACTCAACTACATAAATAAAAAGCCACACAGGAGACAATTGCTCACACAGAGTCAGAGTGGTTTCCTTCCGGATGAACACAAAAACTGGCCGTTTCCTAAAAGCAATAGACAACAAATCAGATGACGTCACAAGGAAAAGACAGAGTAAAAAAAAAAAAACTGTAATTGCTGTTTTCAAACAATGCACCATAAAAAGAAGAAAGTCTACATCATAAATCGTTGCAGGCTGTAAAGTGAGCAATAGAAGGACTGTAGATGTTTCCGGTTTAGAGCACTCATCACCGATAGTCAGTGGAATTTCAATCTACCGACAGCACAGCCTGGAAAAGAGCTAAGTATCTCCTCAGCGGCACTCGTGCTATGTAGGCGAGGAGCACAGGATCTCAGATACGTGTGTGATGGCTGATCGGGGACTGGCAGCATTGGAAGGAGAGGATTCGGGGGAACTGAAAACGTGTCAGGAGGAACGAGGTGCCGTTAGCTGTCGGAGTTGGGTGTCAGAGTGGGTGTAATAACTGTTTTTTTTTTTTTTGGGGGGGGGGGGGTTCCATTTTACAGAGCACATATTTTTTCGGCAATTTGAGGACAGACCAGCACATCTTCCATGGCTCTCCTGCTCAGCAAAGGCAATCTCATGAAGACAGTCTGAAGGGCCTTCGTCGCTAGCGGATACCGTCTCCATCGATGTGGAATAAACAGCGGTGATTCCTTCTGGCACAGATTTCCCTTGTGTTGATTATATGACCCACAGTACTTTGGCCAGAACTCAATTAAATCACATCCTTTGTTTGTTTTCATTCCGGTATCTTAGCACAAGTGGCTATTTGTGTGAAAATATGTAACACCACAAGCCCGGAATGAAGAATGATGCAAATCTGAAATCTTATTTTCCACAAAATATTTGTTGACGTAAACAACACCATGATAGTAATAACTCAGTTGCTTTAGAGTCTGGGAATATCAGTAAATAATCAGCTTAAGTAAATTTTAGTAGGCAGCTACCATTGGGCAGACAAGAGGTTAAAAATGACCATTTAGATAATCAAAACGGCCAAGAAACACAGTCACAAGCCGCGTAATATGCAAGATTTGGAACTGCAGATGACATTATGGTGAGAATGGGAAGAATGGCAATAATAGAATCGATCTGTTGAAATCCAGGACAAAGAAATCTGATCAAGAATGTATATACTCTGAATAACACAATTTGAAATAAATGTATCTTTTAGGAGATACAAAAGCCAAGTAAAATGCTAAGTAATATACTATTATATTTAATGATGCTTTATTATACCATTTGCACAAATAGTCATCGCCCAGCTCATGTTACTCTCCGATGAGGCATGTGAGAGGGACCTTGGGGTCAGAACACAAGGTCAGCCATTTGTCCAACACCCCCGCAGCAACTTTTGGGGGTTACAGCCCTCGCTCTATTGCCCAATGGGATGTAATCACTCTGTCAGCCACAGTATTAGGACCACAGTCTTAACCTGCAGAGACAAACTATCATTTTGCATCAAATATACCACAATACACATACAACCTTTTACTCAACATAACCTACCACCAACATACATATATGGGTAATATTCTTCCTACAACTATCTTACAAGTGCTACACTATTGCAAAATGCTATCATACTTCGTCACTTTAATGTCATAAAATTTATGAGTAACCAGTAAACAGCCTGATAATTAATTACACTGTGTAGATATTACTAGCAAAATAAGTGATTCGTTCACACTTAATATATATAAAGAAATATTTGAGAACACTCTCCTTATATATTTTGCAGAATGCCAGCATATATAAATGCATTGCATGGCTTTCTGTGTCTATCAATGTATTTCAAACCACATAGCACATGCTTATAACATACTATGCAGAAAGGAAACATGCATATCTGTGGAGCGGAAGTGACATGTTTCAGTTTCACTTACGGCATAAATTCTGATTGGCTGCGGCAATAATAGAGATGACAGAGGGACAATGGCCTATGGGAAGGGGAGGGGCACAGCCTGGATGGGACACACAAAGTCACTCTCTGAGGCCAATCAGGAGCCAATGGTAGCACTGTACTTGATGGGGCACAAATAATGTAGTATTATGGTATTACTCATGTATTAATTAACCACAAATAATGTAGTATTATGNTATTATGGTATTACTCATGTATTAATTAACCACAAATAATGTAGTATTATGCTATTACTCATGTATTAATTAACCACAAATAATGTAGTATTATGCTATTACTCATGTATTGATTAACCACAAATAATGTAGTATTATGCTATTATTCATGTATTGATTAACCACAAATAATGTAGCATTATGCTATTATTCATGTATTGATTAACCACAAATAATGTAGCATTATGCTATTACTCATGTATTGATTAACCACAAATAATGTAGTATTATGCTATTATTTATGTATTAACCAAAGTCTTAGTAACATACTGATCTCATGTTAATTCATCATTAATGAATCGTGATACATGTTTTATCTTAAGTAGTTACTATATCTGTTTATTCAATAAACCTTTGTGAACTATTAAGGAACTACTGAAGGAACAAATCACAAATAACTCAAGTGAAATATAAAATCCTGATCTCATATTTATTCATTATTCATGAATCATGACACATGTTTTACCTCAAGTATATTTGTTCATAATATGTACTTCAGTAGCAACTGAGTCACTGCTAAATATTTGGGTCCTGTGAAGTGCAGTGTTACGGAGCCCATTAATTTAGCCGCAGCTCTCAGATGGTAGGAGATGCCTCCGGAGGATTTGGAGGAAACTCGCACCTAGGAGGCAAAGGACGTGCAAAACCAGAGCTGGAGACCAAGTCCCACAAGTCTGGAGTCGCTGCTCGCTAAGCCATTCATATGGACAGCAAAAGCGCTTATTTAAATCGCATCTGCTACTGAACTTGTAAGGGCAAAGACATCATGTAGTGGCTTCGATGATGCCGCGGTAACGATGACTGTCACTCTAAAGGAACAATGGTTTGTCAGCTCATACATTTCATTTACTGAGCATTTGCTTTTATCCAAAGCAGCTTGCATTTCTGAGAAGGCAGAGTCAGCCAGTTGCTGGAGCAACAGGGGATTAAGGACCTCATTCAAGAGCCCAGGGGTGATACCACTCTGTGGACCCTGGGATTTGAACTAGCGACCTTCTGATCACAGGCACAGCGTCCCAAGGAAGGTCTGCTATGCATTTTCTTCATTTGGGTAACAAATACCCTCTAAAAACATTCATGGGGCTTGTAGATTATCGAAGGAATCTCTACGAAAGATTTATTGGGTCTCTTAATTGTACCTTTTCCCGAAACATTAAACGTAAAGTAAAACTGAAAGTTATTTAACATAAATAGTAGGTTTTTCTATATTTATATAATGACTGTAATAAAACATCTATGAAACCGTATCACGTAAAATGTTATTTACCAGTGTCAAAAACACTGACAAAACATTAATTTAAAACCTATTCGAGGTGTGATGTATTACAAAAAAGAAGCATGAACATTTAACTGAGACAAAAGCATTCTGTGTATTAACAGACGCATACAGAACATAAAATCACACTGTGCAAACTTACCTTCTTTAAAATACACATGAAAAAAAAAAGTTTTTACACAATTCTGTTAGTTGAATAGCAGAGATTCTATTGTATGTTTGTCTGCATTATCACATCAATTATTATCTACCACCAAAAAAGGTTAATGATATATGCAGGGATTTGTCATATGGCTTTGAAGTGCCTTTAGTCCTGAAATACTCTGCTGTTGTCCATAAAGCACAAACTGTGCCTTGCACAAACCATTCCATGAAAGTCATAAAAAACGTTATATACACTGTAAATGTTATACAAGAAGGATATGTGAATTATATTTCCTTCTAATAAGACATTCAAAAGTTGTAGTATAGTGTACGCAAACTATGTACAGAAGAATGATGCCAACCTTCACGTACTCCTTCAAATGTTTAGTATATCGATCATTTATGTATAGTCTGTTGAGCTTCCTGTCTTAAGGGACGTCTTGGACACATCTGTTTGCATGGTTGACATCGCTATAGTGTCATATTCTTCTTCCCTGGGAGTCCTCTTGCAGAGGTGGAACACCACATGCAGATCGCGCTGGAAGTTCTTGTTGAGGAAACCATAGCAGACGGGGTTGATGCAGACGGAAGCCATCGCCGTCAGGTGGCAGAAGGAGAACAGCGGGTTGTGGTGGCAGGTCATGAGTACTTCATGGTTCCAGTCGACGACGGCGTTGAAGACGTTGAGAGGGAGCCAGCAGATAGCGAAGGCCACCACGATGGAGAAGAGCATGGCATTGATCCTCCTGCTTTCGTTCGACCGGCACTTGCTCTCCCTCACTTTCTCCATCATATTACTTCGCCTTTTAAGACGGACATATATCTGAAAGACATTCCAGGTGGAAAACTGTGAGTTTGCGGTGGATGTCACAAATTTTGTAAGGTGGGGATGGAACAAAGTTGATTAAAATCCTCAACTATCCACGACTTCCAATGTCATTTTGTTGTTCCTCTTTGCATCAGCTTTCGATTTTCGATCAATTTTCATCACTCCTTAGCCTAACTAGCTTGTGATTGTTCTATGTGACAATAAAAATAATTGCAGGTTTACGTCTTCGCGAAAGTGGAACGATGAGCTTATTCCTCAATTTAGCTGGAATAATACTTATTTTCCAACACACAAAAGTAGGATCTTCTTTCTTCTAAATAAGGTAAAATAAGTCTGAGGACACTACTAAACATAGGTAGGAGAAATGGGGCATTGAGTCCCCCACAGGAGGGCTGGCTTACTCTGCAATATCAGCTAAGGTTAACCTATCTATACCAGGTTGGGATTTTCAGGCTTAAGGCCTGCCCTGTCCAGGATAAGTGATTGATGGATGGACGGATCGATGGTTATCCCAAGCACTACACAACTCAAAGCCTCATTAACCCCATCAAATCAGACAAATGATTTTGAAACCCGTTTTATTCATTTTGCTCAATCTGGCCCACAGGGACCCACAAACAGCCCATGTTTTTGCTCCCTCCCAGTGCCCAGTAGGCAGCAAAAATGTGGACTGTCTGGCAGGGAGCTGGGAGGGAGCAAAAATGTGGACGGTCTGATAGGGAGCTGGGAGGGAGCAAAAATGTGGACGGTCTGGTAGGGAGCTGGGAGGGAGCAAAAATGTGGACTGTCTGGCAGGGAGCTGGGAGGGAGCAAAAATGTGGATGGTCTGATAGGGAGCTGGGAGGGAGCAAAAATGTGGACTGTCTGGCAGGGAGCTCGGAGGGAGCAAAAATGTGGACTGTCTGGCAGGGAGCTGGGAGGGAGCAAAAATGTGGACCAGGTTGGGAAACACAAATTTAGCTAATTCTTTGTAGCTGGCAAGGACCAGCTGCCATTTCTACACACTTCCTATGAAGCTCTACAGGGCATCTTTAGATGTGTCATATATAACCGGAATAGTTACTCCTCAAGTTACTCTTAAGTACCTTACAAAACAAATAGCCATCTGGCACCACTTGTTCTCTCCTGTTTTTAACCCTCCCTGTTTCTCAACAGGGTTCTCAAAGACTGCCAGATAGTGCACGGTGTTGATGGAAGGGAGCAAAAATGTCGACTGTCTGGCAGGGAGCTTGGAGGAAGCAAAAATGGGGACCGTCTGGGGGTCCCTTAGGACTGGATTGAGAAACACTGTCCCACGGGACATTGACAGCCATCACGATTTGAATATACCAGTGAAACAACCACCCTCCCCCCCCCAACCTGCTATCACCGTGGAATTGTCACATTCCCTTAAGAACAATCCACATGCCTGACAGGTGGTTATCAGCGGCTGCCATTCTGCTACAATTTCTCAGTGATGCAAGGAATATCAGCATCCCCAGATTAATTGCTATGCGCATCTTTCAAAACGGGAGCATGGCTGCGATCGCATTGTTCCAGTCCTTGCTATTTTGTTTACGCCCGTCGTCACACAGAGCTGAGAATAGCATAAAATAAGGCCAGCTGGCATCTTGCTCGCTCAAAAGCATTATTTCTCTTTCTCAGTAAGTTGGTACTGCTCAATAAATCCTCCTAGCAAAATAATACATCAAATGAAATATTGTTCTCTATATTTGCATAAATGCCTGTATTGATAAATTATACATGCTGTTTTGTTTATTCGTATACACATTTATAATGTATGCTAAATTACTTCATTATGTCTTAATGGGTTTTATATAATCATCTTGCCGCTAATTATTTGCTTGTCCGATTGAATGATTTGAGGATATTTTTAGCTATTTCAATTCTCAGGCCACGAGCTGCTTGCTGCGTCTTGTAAATATGACTGAACGTGCGGACAACCGGGCGATAGCTCTGTATCTGCTGCTGCCGTTCTACTTGGGTCACAGTGAACCTAAAATCAGTCCAAGTAATGGCTCTGAATTGCATGTGGGTGGAAAAGCAAGTGCCCAGCAACACTTCTGAAGAGAAAAAAAGAACAAAAATAAAACGACAAAAGTACACAAGTGCCGCACACACTGGAAGTCTGGCTGGGAGAACATGCTAATGCAGTGATTGAAAGGGGTGTTTGTAGGAGGAGGTGGGGCACTTTACCTTTAAGTAGCAGATGAAGATGAAGCAGAGGGGTCCCACGTACTGAATGAAGAGCATGCCGGTGGTGTACGCCAGCCGGAACGTTCTGGAAGGCCAGCTCTCCACACACACCACCTTCCCGCCATAGTGCTCGTGGAAGTACTGCAGCAGTTTCAGGGGGTTATCAGTCACTATGGAGAAGACGGCGAAAGGCAGAGCGGTGACCGCCGCCAGTGTCCAGATAACGGCGATGGCCACGTAGGCGTGAAGGTTGCTGGGCCTCCAACCACGAGGGTAGACGATGAGTTGGTGCCTCTCCACGGCTATCAGCACCAGAGAGAGGATGGAGACGGAGACGGAGATGCACTGTACCATGCTGTTCAGCTTGCACATGGCCTCGCCGAAGACCCAGTGGTCCATGAACGTGTAGACGAAGGTGAACGGCAAGCAGACGACCGCCATCAGCAGGTCGGAGGCCGAGAGGTTGCCGATCAAGATGTTGGTCACATTGTGCGTCTCCTTCTGCCTGGCGATGATGAGGATCAGGGTCAGGTTACCCACGATCCCCAGAAGAGCCACGGCGCTGTAAGCGATCGCCATGATGAAGAACATGGGCAGGTGGCTCTGACATTCCTCCCCAAACGTCGTCAGGGAGAAATTCCTACGAGAGCAGTTCGGGGATTGGGAACAGTTGAGAAGATCTAAGAGAAGAAGTTCGTTCATTTCGCTCTCTTAGCCTCGTCGCTCCAGTTTCCTCTGATTGCGGCGTCGGATCGACGCGCGTCTCTCCGTCAGGCTGCCGAGATCTCAGACAAGCCCGTCATCTTCTGAACACGTTCGCTGGAGACATTGCACAATTAACAGTTACTTCAAACAGCCAAAAGCCTTTCTGCTTTCCTGTCACCAGAATATTCTTTTTTTTTTGCTTTGAGTTTATGAAGCAAGAAATAATAGAGTTGAAACACTGATAAGTTTATTTTATCCCACCTTTTCTTAGCTCTGCATTCAGTGAATGCATAACCAGTTACTTAATTCATGAATGCCTATCAGACTATATCACAATCACCAATATAATTACCTATTAATGGTCAGTATAGCTGTCGGGGTTTGTTCCCCAATGTCTCCTTTAGGGTTTAACCATAGATCTTATATTCTAAGTGGACTAAGCATTTGTACTGTGAACAGTGAACAATGTGATTGACTGAAACCGTGAAAATGGACAGACGTTTATTATACGTGATTACAAGAACATCAGAAGCCAGCACTTTGACGGCTCACTTTCCCCTCACCAGAAACGCTCTCACGTTTCATAACCTCAGGAAGGACTTCGCTGTTTTTGATGATCTGTCATTCCCACCCTGCATCCCCTCCTTTTCTCTCTCTGTCTCTCTCTCTCTAAATATTCATTCGGCATTATTCAGTTATTAAGTCATGATAATGATTAATAATTTCAACATTTAAACCTGTCTAATTCCTGAACTTTACCTACAGCCGGAAGTGTTTACAAAAAATTTAAAAAATCTTTTAAAAAGATTTTACTGAATGAATACAATGTTTTCAATAATTCCTCTTCCTGTTGTGCAGGCAGGATATGGGCAATATTAATTCCACAAATTAAACAGCCAAAGGTCTACTTGATACTCAATTATATCTGATTCTGGCCTGGTTTTTATTTGCCGCTGTTGTCATTTGCTTTGACACAGTGACACTGCTGAGGGTAACAAAGTACTCTGTCCAATAAAACAAGCGGCACACCTGCCTCTTATTAAATTCAAACACTGTCAGTTACACAGTTCCAGAGGTTGGCGATAAGGCAGTTTTACTGGCAACTCTGGAGAGCTGGGGTGGGTTTTATTGTGGGGACTTATTTATCGCTTTGTTCAATGTACGCTGGGCTTCCACGTGGTTAAAGTCACACACACACACACAGATGTCAGCAACAGAAACGCACATCACGTGAATCTATTCAAAATTACAAAAGTCAATTCAAAGTTATGCAGGATAATCAATTCTTTATTAGTTGTCTCAGCTACGACTATCAGTGGTAACTCAGACTAAATTAGAATTTTAATGAACAACCATTAATAATACTTAATTTCTTGATCCTGATTATATCTACTGTAATTAATTTCATTTGGTTGAGGCGTTTGAAGGACGAAGCCTTGGGAAGAAATAAATATACTTCATTCGGGGACTTATTTGGTTCATAGTCCAATCAAATTCATAGGCCGCTTGATTCATAGCCCAATCAAATTCATAGGCCCCTTGATTTATAGTGCAATCGAATTCATAGGCCTCTTGATTCATAGCTCAATGAAATTCAAAGCCTAGTTGTATATATATGATACAGGGCTGTCAAAAATTCTTTGTCAAATTAGCTAGGGCACATGGAGACACATAGCCTACAGGCCAAGCAGTGTGGGGAATCAATCTCCAAAGTCACCAGTACACCGATCTTCTAACCAGTTATCCTGGTCAGGGCCACTGAGGTGGTCTGGACCCTCTCCCAGGCAGGAGGAGGCACTAGGCAGGGATACGGCCTGGACAGTATGTAACGTACGTATGGAACACGGGGAGAACATGGCTGGCTTTCAGACCACCCACCTCCAATGATTCACTCATCTGGACCTGCATTCCACCTTGCATGCTTCAATCAGCAAGCTCAGGGAGGGAGGTATCACTCCGGCGGATTGATCGGCCAAATTACAATATATTATACTATTACAGAATTTAAAATATAAATAGTTCGTTACTAAAAAAGAAAAAGTCGAGATATCCAGGGGGCCCCCTAGTGTACGGTGGCCAGGATTGTTCAACCCCCTCAAATTCTGCCCCTGCTCGACGCTCTTGTACTCTTATATTTGGCACTTACCTCGTAGGGCGGTTTGATTTGAATAGATCGTCTGTTAGCTTATTGTTATCTTTTGCGACGTATTGTTTAGCTCGTGCTCTAATGCTAACATGCGTATCTGACCGGTCCTTCTATAGAAGCTCGATCTAGCTCCACGATAGCCGTATGCTTGAGATCTATTTATTATATGCCTCGCTGTTCCTGCTAAATAAATAAATGTAAATGTATTCCGCTCCAGACGATAGGCAGCCTGCTCAGTGATCACTCCTATCCCGCGAAGGCCAACGCCACCTATACAGTCTTGCAACGCTTTTTATCAGTTAATGAGAACAAACAGTAGCTAAAACCCCCATTCACCAAATGACGCCTTGCCCAATAACAGCTCCCCTTTTAAGTACTGACTAGGCAGAACAAATTACAAAGTAAATGCGTTGAGTCACACAAATAGTTTAATGGTATGTTATACCAAGAAAGTGAAAACCATGCATTACACTGACTTTATGTGACTCCTTGATTTTCACGGTGAATCGTAGCGGCAGATGATACGATAGTTTAGTTTGTGAGGTAGGCTAGCTATAGGCTACATAACACAACACGTTGCATCTTCATTTTTTTTATTGATATTGGACTTCTTGGGAAGTTTTTTTCCCCCGTTGACAGCGATGGCGTAATTCCTTTTCAACGACAACTATGCCTATACCTATAGATTATTCGGCATGATTTCTGTTAAAACATTTAACATGCTTAAAATATATTTGCACCGTTTTGTCACGTACTTTGACATCACTTGGCACAGAGCGGTATTTTAAACGCGGCGCACCGAGGAATCACACGCCTTCCACTTCATCCCTCTTTTAACTTTGCGTTATTCGCGGCGATAAAAGTGTTTTCTAGGCACTTATTAACAATATAAGGATGAATTGATAATATAAAGGACAGTAGGCCTATAAGAATGAACATAAGGATGAATTGTTGCACTGAATTATAGGCGATTAGGCTACTTAACGTAGAACATCATCACAAGCCTCACGTATATTTTACAAGCATTTTAAATAAAAAGAACTTAAGGATATGGATCTATACGTATAGCTACTGCTTAAGAACACTATGCTAAGCGACTACACCAGATTAGTCGACCAATCTCGTTTATAAATAAACTGCTGCTTGAATCGGTTTGCTATAATCGGTGGCTTACACACGATTGTTCAACACTTCTTAATGATCGAATATGAATCTTTACATTGCCACATAAGAAAATGTTTTCCCCAAAATAGTTCATATAAAATCACCGACAAAATGATTTGAAAGAAAATATAAAATGTCTTACCTCTTGCTTCTGCTAAACTGACAAATCACTGAGCACGTCTGGTGTAGCGTGCCATTTGCCGTGATGAGATATCTCCGGTTGTCACTGGAAAAAGATGTAAAGGCAAATATAGGAAAAGAACGTAACGCAAAGCATCCTGACCAGGGTGTACCCCTGCCTTGAAAACTATGCCGCCTGGAACCAAGGATAAATGGTTAGTTGATGGATGTATGGATGGATGGATCAAAGATCCGCAAGATTTAAGCTGAAATACTGGGTCTGTTGATTGTAATCTGTTTAAGAAGATGTAGAAAGGAAAAAAAACCTGCAAATGCATTTGTGTAAAGATTAACTAAACACCTGAAGTAAATAAAGTAATTTTATAAGTCGTAAAACTAGGAAGATATTGAGAATGCGTCTTCATCACCTTTGGACACAAGTAGGCTACGTCAAGGTGCATGTAAAAATCTGACAGACTGAAAAGTTTCTTGATTTTTTTTTTTTTTTGATTACCTGAGACATTTTTTCCCAAGAATCGACTTCTGAGCCAAGATAACTATTCTACTCTCGGGGAAAGTGCACACAAACAAACAAACAAATAGGCTATAGGAAGGGAAAAAAAATCAAATCAATACCTACCTACATATTTTCAGACCCGCTGGATTACACTGTGCAGTGACAAAAAATCACAGGCGACTGAGTTCGTGGGTGTCTGTATCCTCAAAAGTACGGGTATAACTATATACGGATCCTATGCGCTTCAGTTCAACCTTAAAGGCGACGCGTCGCTGAATATATAAGCTAGTTATTACTTCAAAATACTTCCTGTATATTCTTACTACTTCTAACCTGAGGGATAACAATGCTGCTAAACCATTCCGATCTGACTGCAGCAGAAGACACCGCCTTCTGTCCACAAGAGTTTCATTTAAGGATGTAAATGCACTAAGTGACAGCTCCTGTCCAGGGTCCGCCTGACCGAGACAGTCTGCGAAACAGCGCCACCTACCTGCGGGCTTTTCCCCCATAAACACCGAATTACGGAACGTAACGGTGAATATCGCGTTAAATTAGTTCCCCCAATCCACAAATCACATTTTTTAATTCCCAGATTTTATATTGAAATTATTCATTAATAAAAAAAAATAAAATAAAATCACTGAATAGCTTGTCTGGGGGAAAATGCGTTTTGTCGTGCATATTTAAAAGTCAGAGGTAAAATTTGTTTGAGACGCTCAGGTGCACACTCAGTTACTTCAGATGGCATGACATAAAAACACCACCGCTTTGGATTTCCTCATGGATAATTGCGCTATATCTGCAAATATGCAGCGTTGTCCGTAGCCGAATTCAGCACCACGGATAGCGTGTCTCGTGTATTTTTATTTAACTTATTTTTATAGAGGCTTTATTTGCGATATGAAAGCTTCAGGTCATCTCGTCTAATTCCCTCCTTTACGTCGCTGCCAGATCTCAGTTTATTGATGCCCTGCGAGGGTGGAATAACGAGGGGAAAAACTTCAAATGCGACTTGGAAAAACAACCGAAACCCTCAGCCTGAAAAATCCAATTTGAGCCACACGAAGCACTGAAACAAGGACCTCGGGAGTAACGAAGAGCCACATGCAGCCAGAGGAGAGCAAAGTAACAAGGCAGTTTGCGTGACGTGTGAACGAAAAGCGGACATACTGTCCGTCTGCGCGCTCAATGAGGCACTGTGGAGGCAGCATGCAAGGATCGCGGGCATCCTCTGTACCAGCACCGAAGATCGGGTCCTAAAGGTACGCCCTTTATTATCCACAGATTTATACTATACAACTGTAAACACTGCCGTTAAGACTTATGAAAAGTTATAGACTTACAGAGACAAAGAAAGTGTATAAGAAAGTGGAAATGCTGTAAAGAGAAATTCGGATTATTACCTCGGGTTAATATTGCAGCTTTTAGAAAGAAATGGTTCCTCTGATGTTAATGCGTGACCATGTGGATGGTCATAATGTTTTTCTAAGGTATTTCTAAAATATTGCTTTATGTGAAGAAGATTGAATATTCGTTTTAAAAACTCTTAATCGTGAATAAAATTCGCCCATCAAACTTTAAATGTAATCGTTTATTTGAGATAGATAGAGAGATAGATAGATAGATAGATAGATAGATAGATAGATAGATAGATAGATAGATGGATCAGCAATAAATTGACAGTCGAAATCAGTGGAAAGCATGTGATATTCTCTCTCATCTCGGAGACAAACTTCAGATATTTCACCAAGCGGAGCGAGTGAGGATATCAGCTGCGGAAAGCGAAGCACAATCAGCCACCGGTCAAAATGTTTATGCGTGGAGGTCAGAGAGCGAAAATCCCTTCTGCGGAGCTAAAAGCGTGCTGCTATTTAGTGACACAGGCGAGGGTTCCTCACTGATATCACAGACGACCCTGTGCAGCGCCCAAGAATGGACTTTTCGGGGGAAATCGGGATACAGAAATCAGCTCTTGGCACAATGTCCATTGTACTAAACACGGGATGTAGTTTAGGGTAATGGTAAAGGTGTAATGTATGCACATTATTATAAATGAATACAAATATTAGTACACAGAGAATATCTATTCATTTTCTGTACCCACATGTCCTATGCAGAGTTGTGGGGGTCCAGAGGCTATACCGCAGGATATAGTCACAAGGCAGGGAACAACACAGAATGGGGTGCCATCCCATCTCAGGGCGCATACACACACACACACACACACACACACACACACAAAATCACACCTATGGACAATTTGGCAGCTCCAGTTCACCTTGCATGCTTTTGGGGCTACAGTGCCAACCACTGCGCCACATTTTTTACTTTTTGTAATTTTCAGCCTGCGGAAGCTTGGCGACTTCTTAATGCCATGCAAAGAAACAGCCAGAATGAGATGAGCTCACGCCGCGACGTTTCCCGCCTTGTCGAGGCGGAGGCTGATGAAACTTCTCATAAACTCATGAATATCCTCATGAATAAACAACACCGTGCTCTGAGAAGTCACCAAAACACCTTCCAGCTCAGAGCTGGCGATAAAAGGGAATTTCATACATATCTATTCCCTGATCATCTTTTGGAGAACACAGCCTTGGTGTAAGCACACGGTAAACTCATTCATATGCCGCCATTTCTGTTTCATTCAACAGCTGCTTCAGGGAAGATCGGACATGGATGTGGAATATGCCACCAGGAACGAGACATTTACAAACAATGCCAGTGACCCAATTCACAACACATACATTCCATCATGGGAAGATTTCAACAGCAGCGTGAATGACGTTCGCTACTTCTTGATTGGACTGTACACAACGGTGAGCATTTTGGGGCTTCTGGGTAATATCCTTATATTAATGACACTAGCGAGGAAATGGAAGGAAAAGACCATCATCAACTTCCTGGTGGGTCACCTGGCATTCTCGGACATCTTGGTGGTTCTGTTTTGCTCGCCGTTCACCTTGACTTGTGTGCTGCTGGATCACTGGATCTTTGGGGAGGCCATGTGCCACATTGTTCCCTTCCTGCAGTGCGTATCTGTAGTCGTCTCGACGCTGGTGCTCATGACCATCGCCATGGTCCGGTATCACATGATAAGCCACCCGTTGTCCGCTCATCTCTCGGTGAACGCCGGCTGCCTCCTTCTGGCAATGATCTGGGCACTCAGCCTGTCCGTGTGCTCACCCCTGCCGGTGTTCCACACCACCGTGGACTTGAGCGAGAGGTTCCACTTGGAACCTCTGCGCAACAAATCACTCTGTATAGAGTCGTGGCCCTCCAGCGGGTACCGCATCGCGTTCACCATCAGCCTGCTCTTCATCCAGTACATCCTGCCCGTGGTTTGCCTCACCGCCAGCCACGTAAGCCTCTGCTGGAGAGTCAGCGCCAGTGTCCAGGTCCAGCCTCGGGCTCAGGCAGAGGAGAACGAGATGATCCGGTTAACCCTCCAGCAGCCGGATGAGACGGCCTCCCAGCCAGACCAGCACACCAATTCTGACAGCTGGAGGTTGGCTCTAGCCCGGAAACAGAGGAGAAGATACAGCAAAAAGACCTGCTTGGTCGGCCCGGCAACTTCGAGCCGGGAAACGGACTCCAGGGAACGGCTGACACCCAAAGAGCGGGACAAGTCTCCAGCTCCTCTTCTACCTACGGTTCCCATCTGCTTCGAACTCAAGGAGGATGAGACCATGGAGCTGCAGAAGATGCTCACGGCCTCCAAGTCGGTGTCCCGGGTGAGGAGGAGGACGCGTGGCGTGTTCCTTAAGCTGACCACAGTGGCACTGGCTTTCGCTATCAGCTGGATGCCACTGCACCTCTTCCACCTGGTGACAGACTTTAACGCCAATCTGATCTCGAGTCGCCACTTCAAGCTCATATACTGCATCTGCCACCTGCTGGGAATGATGTCATGCTGCCTGAACCCCATTCTATATGGATTCCTAAACAATGGGATCAAATCGGACTTGCTGTCCTTGATTAAGTGTTTCTACATGTCGTAATTGAGTTGGAGGTCATGTGACAGGACACTGTGCAATAGTCAAAGAAAGTGTTTAAAGCTATTTATGCGGGTAGTAAGTGCATGTTTGCTCAGAAAAAGCGTAAGATGACAGTATACGCAAATTAACAGTAAAATAATAAAAAATAAGAATTTCACCTGTTACAATTACAATTACAATTACAAACCTATCCTCAAGGCACACCAGCCGTTTCATGTATTCGTTACACTTCACCACTAGCTAACTTAATTAATTTTACTTAATTAAATAATTTTTTGAGGTACTGATCAACTAGACTAGTATGCTAGTGGTCCCATCAATAATTCCATTGGATAGTTACTACAAATACTGGGATGATTTAAGAAAAGATGCTGAAGTGGCTAATCTGGCACACTTTGGTAGACATGATGTCACAGATTTACACCAACATAAAATCATTTAAACATAGATTTTTTTTTTTACTTTGACTTTTGCACAGCACTGTAAGTCAAACAGCTGCTGCGCAAATGCTTAACTGTCCTTTACAGGTAACGGTAATTTCCCCGGGGAGAAAAAAAACAAACAAACTTAGTGCTGCAAAGATGGGTTATTTTTGTGCTCAAATTATTGATTCTGCTTGATGTTTTGGTGGTGGATGAGCAAGATATGGATATTGACATCTCAAAACAATGTACTATACTGCATGATCAATTAGTCATTTTTAAAGCAATTTTTTGTTAAATATATATGTTGTACATGGCTACATGCACTGAGTTGTATTTAGTGATAAGTATCCTTCGTGTAATCATAAAAATAGCTATAAAAATAAGTAAAAGGATGCACTACCACTGACATCAGAAATGCAGTTCTTTGGTATTGTTTATTTGTCACATATAAAGAATAAAAAAAATGGTTTCTGCTTTTAACACCTTTACACATGGATTAAGAGAACACTATCACACTTTTTTTAATTTGGCAGTCTTCTGTTGAAGAGTAAGCAGAGTAAACCAGTCCGTGTAGTAATTGGGGGTTAAGGGCTCATCATTCTTGATATCACTCTGCTGACTCTGGGATTTGAACCAGCGACCTTCCGATCACAGGCTCAGAGTCCCAAAACCCACACAGCCACACACTCAACCCAGACAGGAGGCCACATACTACAAAAAATGTTTTGATAAAAAAAGGAAGAATGTTGTATAAATTGTGTCTAACCGTGATGCACACAAGCATTAAGCGCTCAAACAGAGGGGCGAAGCAACTGCTACATTTAAAGGGCAACTTCGAACTTCGAACATCAAGCTGGGATACTCTCATTTATTCAGGTGAAAGGGACAGGTGCTGAGGCAGCCCCCACTCCCAATTGCCCCCCCAACCCGGAGCCATCATTCCAGATTCCAGTACAGGCCAGAAATACTCCAGAATGCCAAATTAACACAGCTTTGGATTGTGGGGAAAAAAAAGTGGGGTTAAGCTGCAAACTCCAAACAGAATGAGCACAGGCTACTTACATATACATAAATATCTCAAAATGTGAGATGCATGATTTCTTGAAGGTGCAGTGCTTTTGATCAAATTGCTTTGATTTCTTCAGTGAGGAACCAAAGTCATATAGCTACACTGATGGTCAAATGTGTGGAAACATCTAGCATTTTTGGCATTATGCTTTAAAAATGACTACATAAATATTGGTGGTAGTGTTTGTAAACAAAGAATGTTACAAACATCATACATTGGATGAGTAAGTACACAATTAGTAAATAAGTAATTGGAGCGATGTAAACAAATAAGTAAATTTCTGCAATCTCTAAAAATTGGATGTGTTTCCACAATTTTGGCTACTAGTGCGCTTAACAACTGAATCAAATCTGTGCACTGAATTCACCAGTGGGTTATTAAAACAGCTGATGCACAAAATTATATAATATGATGGGTAAAGACAGTAATATCAAAACCTATATAATACTTGTAAAAATGATTCTGATGCGTCATCATTTTTTCTATCCGTCGTTTTAATTTGTAAAATATTTTGCCGGAATACAAATATGACTAAAGGGCCGCAAGTTTAGAAATACATGCTGAAATTAAGGGCTGGTGATCATCCACATGCATGTGCAGCAATCGAAAAATAAAATCAAAGTATAAAAACATGCATGACTGAGCTGTTTGACGACCAGGTGATTCATCAAAGCAACGTGGTGAAAATATCGATTTTACTTCCGCTGGGGATCTCTTTTATGTGGTATTACAGAGAATTTTTAATTATGCAACTCCCTTCAGTGTTCTGGATGCCTGGCAAAATATTCATTTTAAAATGTTAATTAAACGTTATCCCCCAAATCTTTCAGGGCTTGTACGAGTTAATTCTACATAAAAAACGTCTTTAAGCTATGAAATACACATTTAAATGATTGAGAAGCAAACCATCATAAATAATGTTCAATGTATTAGGCAGAACCTGAATAAAATCATACAATTCATATTACAAACGCGATATAAATTTGACTTGAATATCCTTCAAATTTATACAGATTTATATTGTCATCTCTTGCATCCAAAAAACTATTAGTTATCTTCTGTTCAGTGTATATCATTGGCTGCACTTTACACCCAGCATCTCTACTTCCACTCTTCTGGTTCACGTCATTCTCACGGTGAATGATATACACATACAGCGTTCACCAGGGGGCGCCCTTTCACAACCTACATGGGACCAGGGTCCAGACTCTAATATCAAGACGCCGGATTTCTTGCTTAACCGGATAACTTTAGGGATTTAAGGTGGTCTGGGCTGAATGTAAGTGAACGAAGGTAAAGTTAATTTAAACTCGGGTACCTTAATTCCAGCAAATTATCCGAAGCAAGAATCCTGGCTTCATGATACGGCAGCCATGATATGTCATGCTATGACTGCCACCATGGCAAAATAAAATTTGGCCAGTTTATCGTTATAATGAGATAGGAAATCTCGTTTTAACATGTGATTTTGCATTTTCTCCCCTTGGCGAATGTAGGGGTTCCTGTGTTTTCTCTGTGTCTGCATATGTTCCGCGTGATAGACCGGTATTTTTTCATACCCTGTTCTCCATACTGCCTGGAACAGGCTCCAGACTCCCTGATCCTGTCAGACATAAGCGGTTGGAAATATGGATGTTGGTTTTTTAACGACTACCATTATAAGGGCGTCTATACGATTTATTTAAACAACGGAACCTTTGGGAGCGTTTCAGCGACGCGGGGAAGAAAAATAATGAGGGACCGTTTCCGGAGTGTCACACTGCGTGCTGCACGTGTTCAGGTTGTCACAAGGATCTCAAACACACACCGGCCGCCAGAAATGGTACGTAGGGGCCTAGATAGCACGACGACATCGTTATATCTAACAGATTTTTTTTACTTGGAATGACATTGCGTGTCTGATTTCTCATATTTCAGCCTAAAGCCAAGAAAGGAAAGGGACCGGTGGAGAAGAAGGTAGTTCATCCGTACAGTAGAAAGGCTGGCTATCTTGCAAGAGAAGCCAATAAACAAGAGAAAAAAGAACGGTAAACTTCAAAACAAGGCCTTATTGCATGCAAATTGTTATGACAAAACGGATACCCCAACTGTCAGTGGTATAGTCTGTTACCTAGCTTTACTTAACTAGCTGTCTACATACCTTGAAACACTATGCAACCAAGCTCATGCGAATAATTATGTAATTTCTCCCAGGCAGAAGAATGAAAAAGCATTGCGACTGAATGCAATCGGTGAGTTTGTCGCAAGACGAGAAGTTGCATTTCAGTTGCCTCATCAGCACTTTAAGCGCTCACTGGGTCTTCGCAGGTGAAAAGCTCGCCTGGTTTCAAAACCAGCTCGATCCAGCTAAAGAAGAATATACAAAGCAGGATGCATGTGAAATGATTGAGAGGTAAGTATATGAACCGACTGGGGCTCAGCGATTGTTTGTTTATTCCTAGATCACTAAGGGATTTGTTTAACACGAATTGCGACACGTTACTGTAAGCTATCTGACTTGGTCTGTTTCCTCTCAGGTATTTGCATCGCTTCGACGCCGAGTTGGAGCAGATCGAGCTGGCGAACAGCATTAAGGGGAGACAAGGGCGGCTCCACGTATCCAGAGAAAATGTCATAAAGCAAACGATTGAACGAGAAAGAGTCCTGTATGAGGGCAATGGATTTGGTGCGTCCCGGTTCTTTAATTTCCTGATTGAAGTGTTGATTATTATAGTTTTGCTTAGGCTACAATGTAACGTTTCAGCGTTGAATAGATCTATGGTGAAAACGTGATGTCAAGTTTATTAAATTAACTAATAACCACTAGTTACACAAGCCTGAATACCGTGTTCTTCCCTCCTGTTTTAGAAATTCCCGATATTATCAACTCTAAGCACCTAAAAACATTCAGGTGAGACTTTTTTGCAGTGCCATTTGATCGTTTTTATGTCATGCCTCATTGTCATCCATTCAGCCATTATTTTTATGGAAAATGTAAAGGAAAGCTGGAAAAACAGCCCTGCTCTGCTCTTGAGGACCGTGTCTTAATCCTTGTATGATGCTTCAGTTTCTAAGTAGACAAGAAATTGTTATAGTCTATTTGTCCAGCACTTGTATTCTGGTCTTTATGTCAATGGCAAACATTTCTCTAAGCACAAGACACCTGTTTGCTGGGGGGCACATTGCAGTTTTAAAATTAATACTGCAAATATTTTTTCACCTGCTAATCAGGAATAATTTGATGGTCATTCATTCAAAACTAGTGAAAAATTAGTTTTTAATACCCATTACAGTTCCTTGTTTGATGACTTGCAGTACTCTCTAATCAAGTCACCAGCAGAGCTAATTATAATTATTTTAAATAATCACACACCTCACATCATAAGTTGTGAATCTTAACAGCCTTGCTCACTCGCGACACTAAAAAGGCAAACCCGTCACGTTTTGCTTGTCCACGCTGGGCGTTCATGGGGCAGCATGTAGCTCAGATTCTTACCGGTTTGTGCCCATGTCTGTATGGGTTTGAATCCTGTAGCTGGTGGAGTTATCATATCACCACTGGGTCCTTGGGGCCTTAACCACAATCGCTTCATGGATTTTGGCTGAAACAAGCTTCCCTCACATGTACGTTGCTTTGGACAAAAGCCTCAGTAGAGTAAATGTACATGAGCGCTGTTTAACCTCTAATGCGATTGGGTCAAGTATCAAGAATGTAAATGAGCTCTGTTTAGCCCATGCTGTGATTGGGTGAAGTAGCAGGAATGCAAATGAGCGCTGATTGGCCCGCAACATGATTGGGTGAAGTAGCATGAATGTAGCCCGAAGTGTCATTGGGTATAAAAAAAAAAAACCGTGAATGAAATCATTGGTTCTGGGTTATTTGCCACGCAGGACTTTGAGCACAAACTGAGAGCAGCATTGGGAGAGACACGGTACGGCCCAGTGGTGTCCTCACTCATGCAGAAGTTATTACCCCACTTCTTTTTAATGACACAGGGAATGGAGCGGAGATCTGAAAAAGCTGCCAAATATAAAGATGCGAAAGGTTTCCCAGAATGCACTGGACGGCGCAAAAGACACGCAGGAGCGCCCGCCAGAGGGGATTGACGACGGCGTGGAGGACGAGCTCTCTGCAGGGGATTGCGAATGAGCCTCTTTATGGCACCTAGTATTCATCTCAGAGAGCATCTCCCTTCCACCGAGACTGAGGCTCTCAGCTGGGTTCCTGTCTGACTGCTGTTGGGCTTTTGGGTTTTCTGTAGGTCTGTAAAGCAAGGAAACCCTCAGTTTGTAGTGATGGATGAGACTTCCAAGGCCTTGCTGTATTATTATAGTGCGCCGTCAAACAGCTACAGGTCTGACCCGCTCCATCTCGGCGACTCTGCTGGTTTCTACTGAACTGTTTGAAGTCTCCTTGGGCTTCAAAGGCTCCGCTCAATAATCCCACCCTCCATGGGTTCTGCAGTTCAATTTCTCATTACTGACAGGGAGAGGGCAGCTGAATTAGGTTAGATAGGTTAATAAGTCATTAAAAAAAGGATGCTTATGTGATGGTACACCAGGAACAAGGTTGACTTTGAATCCTGTACTGAAATAAAAAAAAAATACATATTTTTACAGTTTGAAGAAAAGCTTTGTTTCTATTTTCAAAGAATAAATATCAATTAAGCAAAATGGTAATGGGGAGAGCTTATCTAATAGCAAAAAAAACACATTCCACGGATAGACCCCCAGACATTCCACATTCTCGCTCCCTCCCAGCACCCAGTAGGAGCAAAAATGTGGAATGTCTGGGGTCTAAAATAAAAATCTGCGAAGTGTTTCCTTTTACCAACGAAGTAAGAAAGAGAAAACTTTTGCTAAAAATCTGCTGTGTACATACATTTATTTCACCATTTGAGTTTACATATATATACACACACATACGACCAGAGTTGGGGTACCCAACATTAATATGTAATGAATGGGTAACCATGTTGTAATTGGCATAGTTCACATGTACTGTTATTGATATCTTGTCATTCTTGTTTGGTACATTCGGGAAAATCTGATACCTTAACGAAAGAAGTGCAAACCATTTGTTCATTAAGTGGATAACGAAGAGTATCGGCTCTACCCGGTAATACAAGATTTTCGGTAACGTCCCGAGACACAGGAACAATTAGAAGAAATGTTAGAAAACAGAAAAACACAGTTTATCAGAGTCATTCTATAACTTCCGCATGTTCAGCTGATATTAGCTGGCCGGCATGAGGGACAGGAGGCTACTTCAAAAGTCCAACAACCCTGCCATGAGTACTTGCATACTTGTAGACTTTATTGCCAAAACTCAAATGCATGTAAGCAGGGATGTCTGAATACTCTGACCACCTCGTGTCCTGTGAGCCATATGAACTGGTCATGTGGCACCAGCTGGTAACAGGCTTCCACCAAGCCTAAGCCTAACCCTAACCCTACCTACCCCCAAGTCCTGTGCCCATGGGGTAGGCAGGTCAAAAGGTTGGGGCTCCCAATTAAAACACCTATTTCCATGTGCATGTTGAGCCTCCCCATACCTGGTCAGAGGTCAAATCAGTCAATCATGACCACAATCCCAACGGAGTAAATGGTCTCTGTGCTTCAACGTTAATATTTTATTATGTGATTTAAGGTATTTACAATACAAGCTACATGCTACATGTGGCCACCTCCCCTCCCCCTCCCCTCGAAGCTAATGCTCCGATTCCTCTTGGGCACCAACGCCTGGTGTCCGGCTTCTCTGCGGTAGCAGAACTCGGGGGACCCGCGCTGATCCGAGGGCTGAAACCCATCCTTCCGAACAAACAAAACACCACAGACATCACCACGTCTGACTGCACATTCATGTTCGTTATGGAGATGCTCAGATACCTAACAGATGAAAAACAGACATTTAAATCATAAATTGGACTTCTGCACTCGACTGGGGTGTCAGCTCTGTTAAATCACCCCCCTGCTGGTTAAAATAGGATTTAAAACATTGTTTCCTAATGATGGTGATTTGGTATAAAATATATCGGACTATAAAGATTCTTTTAATGTGATTACATATGCCATTAAAATCGATTTGTGCACCAACTGGAATTTTTTGTATAAAACTGCAAATAACTCATACAATGGGCTATTTTTCCGACACCCCAAGTAAGAGCTCCTTTGTGCTTACGGCTAACAGGTGGCCTGGTCTGGGGTCCATTTCTGCCTTTGTTAAACATCGATAAGTTCCTTTCATTCTGAGCAGTGGTCTTAAAAACTGTCACCATGACGACTGCCAAGTTCTCGACAGAACCTGAATTTGTTCTCGTCTTCAAAACTTTAGGTCTCAGAAATAAAGTGGGAATGGTGGGGGGGCTGGATGGATATTTCACGAGGGATCCGCTGTAAGCGGTCAGACGGGCGCTACGTCTGGAACGGTGTCGCCCCCTACTGGCCGGTGAGAGTTTGTTTCCGTCTGGGGCACCGGGACCTCCACAGAGTCATGTTTGCCATTCACTTGGCTTGCGGGTAGCATCTTCTCTTCTCCCTTTTTCACCGTGTCCGGACAGTTCTGGACAAAGATGATCCGGTTATACGCCTTGAGTCTCCTCCAAAGCTGAAGATACACCTTACACTGGATGTACATGAAGATAAGGCCCCCGGTGAATCCGATTGCCACCACGATGAGTTTGGTCCAGAAGGGCCACTCCAACACACCTAAAAGCCAAATGGAGAAAGAGGCAAAATCATTATCCTATCCGGTCACGAGTCCTTTTAGCATTAGCTCGATGATAATTGACGCAGCCACAAAGAACATTGGCACAAGCATATACTGTGGAAGTCCGCTAATTGTCTCTTGAAGATACCGAAATGTTCCTTTATTGGGGGAAAGAAAGAATGATGCTTACCATTTTCTCTGCCCTGTTTTATCTCCTCGGCTGTTCTGTCAATCAGCACATAGAGAGACCACACGACGCAGATGACCGCTATAATGTGGAAACTGACTGAGCAGAAGATCTGACGCCTCTCACGGGTGGACATCTGAAGTTTTTCCCACTGGAAGAGGACGGAACAAAACAATTCACAGATGAACTAGCCAAATAGGTCAAAGTTGAATGTAACATTACACTGCCACCTGGTGGCGTAACACCAGAAATAATATTTACAAGCACTGAAATAAACTCCAGGTACCCCTGTCACAGTGTCCAAGATGATAAGTTAGAAGATTGATGGATGGATGAAAAAGACTATTATCAAGTTCACTCATGCAAGTTCTCACTATTAGAAGAGGGGAAAAAATACAAGAAAGTGTTATAATTTACTTTGAGTGTTCATAACCACGGCAATTAGGTAAAAGGCAAGTTCTTTTAGAATAAAACAAATAGAGAATATAACACGTTTAAATGACACGGCCCTATAAGGTTAATATTTACCCAGAGAAACACGTCAAACACCAGTGTGTGCAACCGTTATGTCGAAAGTTCAAAAACACAAGACCAATGTTCCTTAGCATAAGACAGGGCTCTTGAAATCTGGACCTCGATTCCAAATCCAGGCCGTGTTTTCAGTTCTCCCATGGAGTTAGTTTAATAATTACTGATTCGGATTGGCTAGAGGCTTCACAGCTGGGTCGCGGGTAAAGGGAGGCTGGAAAACCAGCAGGGCTCGGACCGTGATTTGAACAGCCCTGCTGTAAGAGGAGTTCATTACACCCGTAAAAACCCACAACCTGAAGCTTCCTCACAGCCACGGCTAAATCCCATCTTTTCGGATAGCAGAATCTGCCCTAGAAGGCGTGACGGATTTACACCCCAGACGGCCGCTATCGCTGCTCTCTGACTCACCACCACCCCCACCCCCCCACCCCGGGCAGATCCCAGGGAATGATCTACTCCAGAAAAGGCAGCGTAAGCCAGACATACCACTGAAACGTCAGGAGTGAAGGATTTTCCCAGCTGTCTCCTTGCTTGCTCAGTCATATACCGATTTATGATAAAATCTGAATTCAGTCTACAGCAGGGGTGGGTAATCTTATCCACAAAGGGCCAGTGTGTGTGCAGGTTTTTGGGATAACCAGTAGGTCAGATGCTCAAACCCAGGTGTGAGGACTCTTCAGCCAATCAGGGAGTTGCACCCAAAACCCACATACACACTGGCCCATTCTGGATAAGACTGGTCACCCCTGGTCTACAGTATGGAGCAGAAGTGAAGCTCTTCCCCTCGTCAAATTTCTGCTTAGTGCAGTCCTTTGTATTCAGTTCACTTCTTTTAACGGAATTGCGAAATAACATGTATTCTTTTAAAAAATGCTACATAGCTGGACTAATAAGCTTGGTCTCCATGGCGATAGAACTCCAGCGCCAGCCGCCAAGGGCCTCGGGTCGGCAGCCCAGCTGACCTCGATCAAGCCGGCGACTTCATTACACTAACTAGGGTCAGCTGGGTGCCTTTGGGAGATTTCAGGGAGCTGCTCTTTGGTGTCACACTGCGACGTGTCGGTTTATAGCTACTCCTTTGCATTTTTAGTGTTTGTGGTGTTATGCGTCAGCCTTTCTTAAAGGGAACTTCGCATTTTACCTTTGGCCAATGAAGTGCTTCGGTTTTCGTTCCTTGATCCTCTGTTTGATCTCCCCGCACAACTGACCACAAGATGCGGTCACGCAATCCAACATTTAGCTTTCAAGATATTGGAGTTTATGCGGGGGAGACGGATAAACAAAGTGCACTATGAGATGTATAGACAGGAGTGTATGCCACTGTTGATTTTTGCAAGAATCCAACACACGTTTGACAAGAAAAAAAAAAATCCTATAAGTTCACAGTTTAGAAGAATATATATCTGTAATATCCGAAACTATTATATTTCACCAAGCAGCGCAGGCAAACAAGGATATGAGCACTTCAGCAGAAACAGCAAATAAACACAATTCACAGAACCCCAAGAGTTAAGAAGAACCTTGCCCGCTATCAGACAGACCGTAATCAAAACAGAGAAGTGGTAAACACTTCTTTTTTCTGGAGAACTGCGAGCGCTGTGTCATCATTTATTACTTTACATTTTCAAAATGATAAGTCTAGCTGAAAGTGTTCGTCTAGTTGAGCTGGATGCAGATCCTTCAGAGTTCAGAGTTTAACGCTTTACATAACCGTACGCGGTGGCATTTGCTAAGGAACACAAAAGCAACGCAACGATAAAACTACGCTGTCGTTCCCCTTTTTTTACAGAGTGCTACTCATTTCACATACCTTCTCCAATTCAATACTAAGTTCTCCTTTCGGTTTACTTAGTCCATCACATATTTCCCTACGATTTCTGATATTACAAAGACAGAAACCAATAAAATGAATCATTCTTGAGTTTAAGACTAGAATCCATTGATTTTCCAAACCCAGTCAATCGTTATTCCCCAGTAATAAACTGCAAAATTCACAATATATAAAATAAAAAAATTAAATAATCCAATCCAGAGAAATATGAATCCTGAACTAAAATCTCGTAGCGGAATATTAGGGATAAAATCTCCCATTAATCCAAAAAAAAAAAAAACTGTTAATGTACTTTTGAAAATTTTGACCTTGCATATACCTGTTGATAACATAATGCAAATACAATAATATTGTAAATGTTCCTATGGAGACAGTTCCTATGGAAACGGAGAACAACTACAGTGCAAATCAAAGACTACCCTAGAACTGCGTGCTCCAAATGAACCTGAAAGGGCCCTTCGGCGTGGAGGCCTGAGTGACCTCTTGAGTCTCTCTTCTCCCCATGCATCTGTTACTAAACAACACATCAACATGAAAGGTTAGGGTTGTGACCTGGTTTACAGCAGGACCTAGTTACTGTACTCGTGCATATGTGTGACAAGTTACGGAAGCATCATTAACTATGCTCAGGGTAAGTGTTTGGAAGACGGATGGCCGACATTTATGGATGTGTCGATGATCAACTTAACTGTTTACTTGAAACGAGGTCACAAAAAGTTAATACGCATTTTACACACTCGCCACATTATGCCCATCATGGTAATAGTTTACCACTTCTTTAAATTTACATCTAAAACAATTATCTGCAGAGTTACTAGTGGCATATTGATGAAACTTCTGGAAGGTGAATTCATTGTAATTCTTGACTATTTTAAAATAGTACCTCTGTAACCATACAATTATCCAATTTTATTTTACAAAATTATCCAATACACGGATTTCATGCAAAATAAAATAAAAAAAAATAGTTTAACATACTTGGACAAATGCAATCTTTTGCTTCCGGTCAGTGTAATTTTTCCAAACACTACCTTCTCCTGTTTCAGCTTGATTATGTTAGCTAACACCTTTTAATATAATTATGAAACCAGTTTGCATGCAATTGTTTGGTCTTTTTCAGAAAGCCGCCAGTATATTAAATTACATCATGTAGAACCAAGTGAATCTACATTCATCAACGATTCCCTGAAATCAATACAGCATATCTGTTCCATTCTGCATCAGCAGGGGGCAGCAGTGTGCTGTTTTCCTTCAACAAAAGGCAGCTATCTCAGCTGTTTCCTGCCTCAAGATGAAGGCGGTACAAGATGTTTTTGCTTTTATCTTAGATTCACTCTTGTCAATATCGTTATCCACTTTTCATGGAACATCAGGCCAAACATTCTGAAGCAGGGCTAAGGGCTTAATGAACTGTTTTAACAAGCAGGGCAGACTGAACAGCAGACACTTGCTGAAACCTTTGATAAACACAAATACATATTTTCAGACTGTTTGCTTACCTTGCCCTCCCCAAGTAAAGCACCATGTGTGCCTGACCACAGCCCCCCAGATCCATAGCCCCACACTGCAGGGCTCTAAACCAGTGTTTCTTAACCTGGTTCTCCGGGACCTCCCCCCCTCCCAAACAGTCCATATTTTTGCTCCCTCCCAGCTGCCAGCCATTCAAGAACTCTGAGTACCTGGTATAGGTTAACTGGGAGCTGGAAGGGAGCAAAAATGCAGACTGTCTGGGGCTCCCCGTGAACTGGGTTCAGAAATGCTGCCTTAAACCATGCAAACATCTAGACCTCTAGACCCTCAGGCTCCAAAATTTCAGGCCTTGCCAGATCCCCAAGATCCAGGTCCCCAGTTCCAACAGATTCACATGCCCTGAGGCCCTCAGACCCCCAGTACCTCAAGCCCCAGTCCATCAGGCCCTGAGACCCCCAGGCCCCAGATCCCCAGGACCTCAGACACCCAGATCCCCAGGATCTCATTCCCCCAGACCCCCAGACCCTCAGGCCCCAGGACCTCAGACCCCCTGACGCTACCTTGCGCAGCGGCTTCAGCTGAGTCTCCATGATGAAGTCATACTTGCAGAGCTCACAACAGCGTGTGTCAGAGCTCTTGATCCACTGGTGCAGGCAGTCGGGGTGGACGAAGCGCAAGCTGCCCGTGCAGCGGCACGGCGTGATCAGGGGGCAGTCCTCGTCGCCCTCGCAGTGGCAGATCCTGCAACGGCAAACGCAGCCATCACACGCAGCTCTCGCCTTCAGGTGGCTTGGCACAGTTCCACCCCGCTAACCTTTCCCACAATCCACCTCGTATCACTCAAAGCTCGCCGACTGGTTCCATTACTCAGTGTTCTGGCTGCCCAGGCGATGCCGCTGGTTACCACCAAAACGACTTTAGAGAGTCATTTTCATAACCGCACATCCCATTTTTAATGCTTCATTTAATTCAGCTGCTCCACAAACTAGAAACGAAGCATGGGGTTCATTTTCTGTATGATCATAGAGATAAAAAAAAACACAAAGGCACAATATAAAAATAAATTTAAAGTGAAGACATAAGCTTAAAAGAGGTCACTGCTGTGGCTTCCTGGGCTTTTCGCCTGCTCCTCTGGCCTTGGGAGGGGGGAGGGGGGGGGGGGGGCGACGCTCCATTTCTGTTTCTGAGTTTCAAAACCTGACGCTGAAACGGGAAGCACAAGCAGCTTGGAGGTCTGTGGGCCCCAGAGGACGTTACCGTCAGACATGTGAACGCTGCCCGGCAGCTGGGGGGTGGGGTGTGACGAGCGTGACGAGCGTGACGGACGCTACGCTCTCTATGCGTCTCTGCTGCTGGCTTCCAGGTCCCTGGCCCCCTGACGGGGACAGGCAGCTCCATTTGGGTCGAGGTCCCTGGGGGCCACGCCGCACTGACCTGCACACCTCCGCATCGTCGTCTGTGTACTGTGCTGGGCCACCTGACCTCCTGGCCGAGGGGGCGGCTTGGTCCTCAGTCCCCGAGTCCAGCTCTCTGTAGCCCTTGCAGATGCGGTCCTCCTCGGCGGGGCTCCTGTACGTGACTCCGCAGCCTGATGCCTCCCCCTGCGGCTGCTGCTCCTCCCTGCTAGCTGAGAGTCCATGTCTCTTCTTCAGGCCACCCTGGGGGGCTCGCCCCCGGCCCCCTGCCGATTTGGGGCCCGCAGAGGCCAGCTCGGCGCCTTCCCCCTCTGTGCTCCTCTCTTTGCTGCGCCCCCTGGCCCTCCCCCGGCTCCAGATCCAGCTCCTCTCCTGCCTCCGTTTCTCCTCTTCCTCCTCCTCTGAGGAAGAGTCCGACTCCCGACGGCAGATGTTACAATGCCCGGGCGGCTCCTTGCAGCTCCTGGAGGCCCCATCGACTCCCCGCGGCCTGATGGGGCGCTCGCAGGCTCGGCAGAACTGCTTCTTCCTCCTGTGCCTCCTCTTAGCCTGTCTCCCAGTGCAAGGCGCCCCCTTGTGGCCTGGAGTCCCATCAGGTGTGTGCAGCTTGAGGACATCCTCCTCCAATGCTGGGAGAACCCCGAAGCTATGAGGAGCAGCGGCGGAGAGGCAGGAGCGGCGAGAGGCGGCGGAGAGGCAGGAGCGGCGAGAGGCGGCGGAGAGGCAGGAATGGCGAGAGGCGGCGGAGAGGCAGGAATGGCGAGAGGCGGCGGAGAGGCAGGAACGGCGAGAGGCGGCGGAGAGGCAGGAACGGCGAGAGGCGGCGGAGAGGCAGGAATGGCGAGAGG